CTGAGGTGGCACTGTGTGAACTCAGTGAATTAACAGGTCTTGCACCATCTTAACAGGTCTCATTTGGCTGTTTCCATGGAGTGAAGCAAAACTGGGCAGTACGGGGAATGGCCCCTGCCTGGATAAGAAGCATGTGCTGTCTGAAAAGAGCAACCACAAGTTGCAGGAAGCAGTTGGCACATGTGGGTCCCAGGCGAGGGAGAAGACCACCTGGCGTCCCTGGGCTGAAGTGTTGTCAACCTTGCAGGACTTGAAGAACCTGATATTTTCTGAAATGTGGGACATATTTCTCGTGCGCTTGTTGATGTCTGTGGCTGTCTTGCTGTACCACAGTAATTTCGTCCTGGCCCTGGAGGAACGCTTTGGGGTGAGGCCCAAGGTGACAGGCTATCTCATCAGTTACAGCAGTGCCCTGGGGGCTGTGGCCAGCTTTGCCCTGGGGCCCATCCTGCGGCTGTACAGGCACGACTCCTACACACTGCTGCTGCACTCCAGTGCCCTCACCTGCCTGCTCCTGCTGCTCTACTCCGAGGCCCAGACTGTGGGTGCAGTCATCGTCTCTTCCACCTTCCTGTCCTTCTCCACTGCCATCGGCAGGACTTGCATCACAGACCTCCAGCTGACCGTGGGCGGGGTCCAGGCCAGCGGCACCCTCATAGGTGTGGGGCAATCAGTGACCGCAGTGGGCCGCATCATTGCCCCTCTCCTCTCAGGAGTTGCCCAGGAGGTCAGCCCTTGCGGGCCCCCTAGTCTGGGGGTGGTGTTAGCCTTAGTGGCTGTTTTCATAATGTCTCTAAACAAACCTCGCTCCAGAGGTGACATGAGTGATAAACTGAAAGGTGAATAGAATGGATTTGAACACAAAGAAACAAAATTTGAAGTGGTTGTAACACGAGCAGAGGTCTCGATGAGAAGGGTGCTTTGGACAAGGCAGATCATCTCCGGGAAGCTTATTTCCAGGTGGGTGTGCCCTGTCGTTGGGCTTTCGGGTAGCCCTTCACTGTGGACTGTAAGGCCTGCGGGGTGATCAGAAGTCATCACAGCATATGGGGAAACTGAGACTGGAGTAAAGCTTTGGCAAAGGGAAGTGAATCCAACCTTCATCTGGAAATGTCCTCTCCCTGCCCAGACCAATGAGGTTAAAGTTTTCAGGGGGAGAAAGCTGCCAGCTACAGGGTAGGCAAATGGCGATAGAATAACAGAACATTACATGGAAAAACAGAAGAAACCACAAGCATTTTCCTACTGAAAATAGGGTAGCATGCTAGTGAAATGCTGATCACTAGAAAGTGAGTTTGGAGTTAAATTTCCTATACTAAGAGGAAGTTTTTTGTAATCAAAATCCTAGACATTGAAGAAGCTGCTTTATTAAAACCAGCCTCTCACTTTCTCAGAGCTGGTTCAAAATTAGACACTGACCTCAGCCCCGGAGACTGATTCGGGGCACCATGCTGGGATCCAGAAATCTGTGGTTGTGAGCACCACTGGTGATTTCTCATTGAAGTAGAAAAAAGATTACCCTGAGATATCCTGATTTTCATTAAAGGCCAGTGATATGGCTGCTTTTATACAGAGAACTAAATGTGGATTGAAATTGTAAAACAAAGCAACAACAAAAACACTTTCCCCAGCTCCCAGCAGTCGTGCTCTGTCACAGAGGTGGGTGTCTGGAACCTTGTTCCCTTCATTCCTTGTCTGAGAGCTGAGCTTTCTCAGAGGCAGACTAAATCCACCTGGACATCGGGCGGAACCAACAATCTGCTCCTGCTCTGGAAAGCCTGTGTTCCAGATGGTTCTATCATTCTGGTGCTGACAACCTGGGGCCGAAGCCCAAGCATAGGAATGCTTTAAAAATGAACGTGAAGTAGAGAGTCAGGTTCAGATGGTGTGCCAGATCAGAGGAGTTGATTTTACAGGGTCTTGTGGCAAGTCATTCATTTCCTTCATTTCATTTTATGCCTGAAACTATGTTAATCTGTAGGGAAAAGTTCTGGTGTGTCTTTTCCAGGCCTTCTCCACGCTAACGTGAGGTTAGCTGGAACTCACGGGCCTGGGCCAGGCTTACCAACCACAGGATCATGTCAAGCATAAAAGTTTAGAGGCTCCTCTTTTCCTCACCAACTGCCGGAGTTCACATTCCTTTTCATTTTATTAATAATCCACTAGAATGCCTGTTTTCAGCCTAACAGATGTATAATTGTAAATGATATTTTAACATACTACAGTAATTTGTCATAACTTTAATATCATTTGTAAAGCAGAAAACATTCCTGTAGTTGTGGGGGGGTAAACCCAAATATTCATAATTGGAAGTATGTTTTAAAAGATCTTTTTTCTTGTCTTGCTATAGGAAAAATATGAACTTTGTACTAGGTGATATGATTGTGAACTTTTACACAACCAAACGCTAAATGTAAACGTTCTGAAGACCAAAATATTATATAAAATCTTGCCCTGAAGGAGCATACTAACATCATAAAGATAAAACTCAAAAGGCAATAAGTAGGCAAAGATGTATGTAATGAAATAGAATTTCAGAAAAGTTTCTCCAGAGATTGTCTTTTCTTCACTCTCAGAAATAGGCAGGTTCCTTAGAAGCTTTTAGATATAACCATGTTTTTATTTTAAAATCACAGCACTCTATAAAGTTAACCACATAAATGTATTGAGGCTTTATAATCAGACAGATGGAAATATTGGAAATCAAAGATTGATCTTAGAATATAGAGTACAGAAGAATTTTTGTTACTCTCCGCTAGTGATTTTAGCATTTTGTTAATGTGATTCTTTAAGTGAGTGTTTTCTCATGGTTTCTCTTACCCAAAGTCTAATGTCTTGGTGTTTAAAGTGTGATCCAGAGACCAGCAGTGGTGGCATTCCCTGAGAACTTATTTGATAGGCAGACTCTCAAGCCCAGTTCAGACCTACTGAGGTCAAAGACCTGGGTGACGTGTTTGCACAGTAGTTTGAAAACCTCTAGTGTAATGGTTAGTATTTATATTATTTATGGAGTGTTACCTCAGGGAAGAGCTCAATGTTTGTGTTACTTTGTTTTTTAAATTCTCCAGAGTAATTTCTGTAATCCTTTCCAAAGGATCAGGTTGAGCCACATGAAATTGCTACTTTTGTAAGTCAAAAATATCTCCACATGGTTCAACTTAATATGATACACAATCTTATTTCAAAGTATTGAGCTTTCTTGAAATGCTGGTGAAAGAAATGGCACCCTTTCCAACATTATGCCAGCCGTAACTATACTGTGGAGCTTGGGGTCTGAAGGTTTGGGGGTCCAGAAGACAGCTATTTCACAGGGTGGAAGGTGCACCTGTGCTCTCACATCCAGAGGGATGGGTAGAATTCAGAAAGAAAGCCAGGTGTGCTTGGCCACAGGATAAAGTACAAGTCCCTAGGCCCAGGCTGGGTGGCCTTCTAGAGAGTTAGGTCTATAAGAGCTATGTGTAGAGCCAACAGAAAGGTTGACAATAACTAGTGCTCTAACCTGGCTGTGCACAATAGACTACAGACACGGAAACCAGAATCTGAGTGTCCTGGGTGTGGACACCTGGAGGTGAAAAAAAAATCACTGGCTTCAATCAAGAAGGAACTGGCCACATGCCATGCTCAGGGGGTGAGGTTTTGTTGACAGATGAGGGGGAGGTACTGAAGAATACCTACTGGAGAGTACTGTGAGGACATTGATGTTTTAAAAAGATCCCTTTGGCTACAGCAAAGAGAACTAACTGGAGGACTAGAGGAGCAGTCTGGGTGTGGGGCTGTAACGTGGATGGGCCCTGAGGGAGAGGCCAGTGCTACAGTGGGGAAAGCAGGTTTAGGTGATGGCCTTCAGGGTGATTGGAGGAGGGACTGTGAGTGAGCCCAGGTGTCTGGTCTGTTCAGCGCTCCAGGGGAAGCTTAGATAAGTCAGGTGACAAGTGTGGAACATTGAAAAGGATGTTTCAATGAGTTACTTGGGATCTTTTCCTGAGGACACATAGTTCTATAAGATATTTAGAAATCAGGAGATTTTCTATACCATCTTCCCCCCCGAAACTAACTTCACAATAGCCTATAAGAAGTCTCTGAAATAGGGTTACCACCAGTCTAGCCAGGATACAGTATAATGTAGCTCTTAGAAGAGCTTGATAGATTAAAAAAAACTTTTCTTCAGCCCCAAAGTATTTTTTCCTTAAAAAAGTTGCCAGTCACAATAATTTCCTTCAGTCATAAAATTCTTTATAATTGTAATGAAGTACTGTTATTTATTCTAATAAATCGTATTTTTAGAACCCCTTGAATCCTGCTGATTGTTTGAATTCAGGATCTTCAGTATGCTAGTATAGTACTAGTACAGACAGCCTGTGTCTTTTAAAACCATTATGTTAATACCAAATACATACCGTAAGCTGAAATTTATTCTGTACTGATAGCCAGTAAGTAGACCCTTGAACAATGTAGGGCTGAGGGGTGCCAACCCCTCACACAGTTAAATCCAAGTGTAAGTTGACTTCCCCCAAATTTACTAATAGGCTACTACTGACTAGATGCTTTGGTGATACATAAATAGCCAACAGAAACCCTTAGAGTGGGAACTCACAGCAGCAGGCTAAGAATTCTCGATACAAATTAGGATAGATTTAAAGAAAAAGTTTTAGTTTCCAAGGAGGAAAGGTCATGACATGAAAGAAGAATTACCAGCTCTGAAGGTAAAAGTTTTGGGTTTTTTTGTTTCCCCTGTGTGAGGCTGGCTTTTATCAGACCTCTTAGAATGTGGTTCAGGCAGATAGCTGAGAGAATCATATGACTTCCGTCTTCTCAGTGCTTCTCAAGTGCTATAAGAACACTTAGAGACCTGGGCTATGGTTATGATTCATCTCTCATATGAAAGTGAGTGATTATGTGTGAGTGTTAATACCAGATACCTACATAACCTGAAATTTATTCTGGTTTAAATTGGTTTTATACTACTGAGTACATTGGATTCTTTTTTTTTTCCCCCCATTCCTGAGATACTTTACTAAGATTTTTTTCCAGCTCCATCCGTGTAAACATAGAAGAGGTAAAGTCTCCATTTTTTTTAAGGAGAGAAGGGGAGAGGGATGGTTCAATAGAGGGAGACTTATTGGTGGGACCACACCTATGGAGCATATTGTAAGGGTACAAGTCAAATCTATCAAGTATTGAACACAAATGTCTTAACACTGTGATTAAGTAAACGAGGTGAAAGCTATGTTAATTAGGATGTAAGCACTCCACTTGGTACAAATAATTAACATGTTGAATCTCACAAAGACATAAATGTACTCATGATCTACGTATATATGACTTAATACAAAAATAAAGAACACTTAGAGACAATGAGTAGAGCCACAGCTGGTTCATCTCAAAGTTAAGCCATAGGTGGTTAAACAATGGGGGCAGCCATTGCTGTAATCCTTTTTTTCCCTTTAATCTGTTTGATTATTAGCAATGCCATCCTTTCGTTATGCCCTCTCTTTGGTTAAAATGGATATGCTTATCAACAGACTCCAGAATGCGTGTTTGGATGATGGTCTGTTCTTCTGTAACTGCTTACAGCTGTTGCTGAGTTGTCCCCACCTGAGAGTCCAGTTGGAGGTCATTAAAGGAGAGCAGATTAAATCGGTCTTAAAAGCCAGAGCAGAGGCAGGATGGGTATTTTTAGAGGGAAACAGCAAGGGCATGGATTTGGTTTTGCATGAATGTTACAAAAATATAGCAAAAATACAGGATCTAAAAATGAGTGCTAAAAACAGAGCTATTAGGGGTCCTAAGAGAGGTGTTAACCAAGAGATGGTCACACAGTTTGAAATCCCACCTGTCAAAATACACCAGAAGTTCTGTTCTCAAGTGCACTAGCCTTTTCAAAAATGTCTTTTGAAGTCTCCTCTGCTGGCAGATAAGAGATCAAAAGCTCATCTATTCTGTAACACAACTCTTTCCAAGGAATTTGTTATAGAATAGTAATTTCTCAGGCTGATTCCATAGCTAATTGACTTGTTTCTAAAGACAGTCTTTGTACCAAACAGATTAAATTAAGGAAGCGAGCTGTGCCAGCAGCAAGTCTGGGTGTTACTTCAATTATAAGAATGATAAAGCTACTGCACCTGGTTCGAGGGTATGAGGAATAAGTGGGTGGGGGCATAGTATCATTGGTAAGAGTAAGGTTAGGGGGTTACATATGCCAGAGCACAAGTT